TTTCCAATAAGCTCTAAGGGAGTAGTTGGTTCTTTTCAGGAAATGGAAATGGAAATGGAAATGAGAATGAACTTCACCCACCACCCCCTCAAAGTTTGTTGAGGAATGTTTCATTACCCAGTATATGGTAATGGTTCATTCCCTTGCATCAAAGAAGACACCATTAATTATTTCAATTTCCATTCCCCACCCCTATTACCCCAACCAAGTACCCTCTAACAAAAATATATTTGTTGCTTTATATTATTTACCTCAAGAGTGACTAACAAAACAATGATGTCAATCAACCTGATGCCTTGTGCTGCTGCGCAGGTAGAGAAGCTGCGTTGACAATCATCTGTTAATGTTATGCAAAACAGTGTTAAGAATTAGATGATGATAGAGCTGTAATGGAGTATTGTGCCATATATCATCAATAGAAGTAATGCTTACCATAGTTTTGCTTCAAGCCCTCAAACCGTTGTATTGCTTTAGACCAAACCGTTGTATTGCTTCAAGCCCTCAAACCCAAAACAAAAGGGAAAAAATTAAACCCTAAATTAAACCCTAAAACCCAAAGCAACCTTGAATAAAATCAAGAATGAAATCTTACCAGGGGCGAAGAATGAAGAGATGCAGAGACAGAGCGAGAGATGCAAAACGATAGCGAGAGCGAGAGATGCAGGGCGATTGAGGGAGATCATTTATAAGTTCGCCTGAGGTAGAGAGAACCGGGTAGAGAGCATGCGATAGAGAGAACAGACTTTGGGTAGAGTGCGATAATGGTTTAGGGAGAAGAGTCGTGGAGAGCATGCGAGGAGAGTAGTGGAGAGCGTGCGAATCTGGTTTAGGGAGAAGAGTTGTGGAGAGCATGCGAGTAGAAGAGTAGTGGGGAGGGGATGGGTGTAAAGGCAGAAAGGGTATTTTGGGTATTAAAAAAATTAAGACTTTAAAACTTTGAGTATAGATGTTTAATAAGGTAGTATAGATATATATATATATATATATATATATACATAGGAGCGATCAAATACAAACCACCCAATTTGTACAAATCGTGCAAATCACCATCATCAGTCGATTTCATTGTTTAATCTTATGGAAAAAAAGTTTAATCTTGTGAAATTGTTTCATATGATACTTTTTTTTTGATGAAGTTGTTTTATATATGGTTATGAAATTTTTTCATATAATACTTAATGAAATTATTCATGTATTTCTCTAAAATAAAAATAATGAAAATAATACTACACTATTAATCAATCTCTCATAATTACAAAAAAATAACAAAATAAAAAATTATAATTGATTAAATGAGATTTATTAAAATAACGTACTTTACAAACTAAATCTTCTCTCTCTTTTTCTCTTCCCCCCCCTCTCTCTCTCTCTCTATATATATATATATA